GATTTCAGGTAAGTCCTCAGTCACTGTTTATATAATATTTACGTACGTTTATAAATACAATAGCACCAGGTAAGATCGTTAATGTTAATTAATCATATATGATTTGGTTACTTGTTTTTGCTGTGGTTACGAATGTATCCGTTGCAAAGGTGGAGCCGTTGTCGACTTTTAAAATGTTTGTGGATGTTGAGGTGGCCTTATTTTCAGTATTTGTGGATTTGGGTATTTTAGCCGTCAGGAGTGCAAAATCGAGGAAGTAAAATTTTAAGATACAATAAATATTTATCAATTATTAATCAAGGAATAGGGGAACCAATGAAAGTGTGCAACATTTTCCATTCTCTATGCTACCAGGACACTTTTTAACCAGTGCCACATTATTCCTAGTCTCTCTCTCTCGCTTTCTCTCAATCTCTCTCTCTCTCTCAATCTCTCTCTCTCTCAATCTCTCTCTCTCTCTCTCTCTCTCTCTCTCTCTCTCTCTCTCTCTCTCTCTCTCTCTCTCTCTCTCTCTCTCTCTCTCTCGCTCTCGCCTTCTCTCTCTCTCTCTCTCTGGCATATGTGTGTGTGTATTATATATATGTATATATATATATATATATATATATATATATATATATATATATATATATATATATATATATATATATGGTATATATGTATTTGTATATATATATATATATATATATATATATATATATATATATATATATATATATATATATATAATATATATATATATATATATATATATATATATATATATATATATATATATATATATATATATGTATATATATATATACAATTATATAAACACACACACACACGTGTATATACGTATATATATATATATATATATATATATATATATATATATATATATATATATATATATATATATATAATAAACACACGTATCTATTGAGGACTTTGAAAAGTTCCTAATGGAAAGATAATTACTGTGAGAAAATCGACCTTTTTTACTTCTCCGGTAAAGAAACACAAAGTTTTGTTCCGCCCTCTCTCGCTCAGACTCCTCAAAGTGCGCGCGCGGGGGGTGGGATGGTGACTGTGTGTGTGTGTGTGTGTGTGTGTGTGTGTGTGTGTGTGTGTGTGTGCGTGCGTGCGTGCGTGTGTGCGTGCGTGTGTGTGTGTGTGCGTGTGTGTGTACGTGCGTGTGCGTGTGCCCTTGACGTAAAATATCAAAAACTCCTAAAATATTATCCTGATAAGGCAACGACATGGATCTCCCCCTCCCCTCCCCTCAATGCAATCCCCTTACCTCGTCTCCCCTCTCCCCTCCCAGCTCCTTCCCACTGCTTAACTGAAATAAATAAAATGATAACAAAAGAAAGACAGAGAGATAGTGCTGGCTGTCGAGTGTTAACGAATCCAGTCTTTCTTCATCCACGGAGACGCTGCCCTAGGGGAGGGTCTTACCTAGGGCGGGGGAGGGGGGAGGGGGGAGGAAGGAAGGGGGTGAGAAGGGATTCGAAGAGGAAAGAAGGATAACGCGGAGGGGGCGTGAGAAATAAAAAAAGGGGGGGGGTAGTAGGCCGGGTGTTGCGTGAGGACAATATCCACCATCCTCACCCTTTCTCACAGGTTCCCTCCCTGTTCCTTCTCCCCTCCCTCCCCCCCTCCCCCCACTCCCCCCAATTACTGAATGCGGGGCGGAAATTAGATCCAGACCATCTAACGTCCCGAGGGGTTTGATCACCTAATGTTACTCAATAATCCCCCCTCTCTCCCTTCTCTCTGTTTCTTCTTCCCCTCTGCCTCCTCTCTTCCCCTTGCCCTTCCGTCTCTCCCCTCTCCCCCCTCTCTTCCCCCCTCCCGGTCTTCCCTTCTCCTCCCCCCTCTTCATGCTGTAAATGTCCAAGATCCAAGAAATTGTGTCCCGGTTGTGGATTCTTGTAGAGACGGGAAGAAAAAATAGAGAAAGCCAGGCGCAGAATATACTGTTTCTCAGTAAAATGAATAAAAATAGAGGAGCAAGACCTAAAAACCAAGAGAGGAGTTAACGAATGCCCTCACAGAGCAAGCGAAAAGGAGAACAGAGAAACTAAGAAAAAACAGCAACTCGATGCGTAAAAAGGAGCAAGAAGAAGGGAACAAAGGACAACATATAGGGGGGAAAGAAGATTAATAGTAAAGCGCGATGCTCAAAAGAGAAGCAAGAAGGAAAATGAAGCAAAAAGCAACATCACGATGCGCAGCCGCCTTCCGTCCGTCTTGCGTCCATAGGTATGCCAACATGTCCCAGCCGGGCATTCCCAGCATCGCTCGGCATTCGATTAAAGAGGCTGCGGGGGAGATGAGAAGGGATGCTGCTTCCGGTGAGCCTGCTCCCTGGCCTCATAACTCCTCATAATTCCTACCTGTAACCTCGAACATGAGAGTAGAGGGGAGGGGAGGGGGCAGGGACGTCTGTGATAGAAGGTCTGTTCATGAAAGTGTGTGCGTGCGTGTGTATGTGTGTGAGAAAGAGAGAGAGTATGAGTGTGTGTATATGTGATTTACTAGGTAAATATTGATATTGATGATGTCAGTGGTGATGCTTCTGATAAGGGTAATGAAAAGGATAATAATGATAATAAAACATTATTTTTAGCAATATTGCTTTTATCATCGATTGTCATTATTATTACTACTATTGCCATCGTTATTATCATCGTTATTACCATTATCATTACTATCAATATTAGCGTCAGCTTCGCGGACTGATCCCTAGAATCATGCAGATGTTGAGAAACTTATCTGGGCAACCGAGTGACTATCCAGCGGTGGACAACAAAGTACACAAGACTAACAGTAAAAAGAATTCCGGAGTTTGTTTGAATCGAATATCTCTGAAGTGGCTCTCACGTGTACATCGACAGAGCTGCTATATAGTTGAGCTCTTGATATTATTATTACTGTTATCATTATTTTTTTTCTTGCTATTATTATTGTTATCATTATTTTTATTATCATTATCATAATTATAATTATTATTATTGATAATAATGATATTATTATTATTATTGTTTTTTAATCATTATTACTATTATTGCTATTATTACTATTATTATCATTATCATCATTATTATTATTGTTATTATTATCATTATCACTGTTGTTATCATTATCGTTGCTATTATTATCATTATTATTGTTGTTGTTGTTATTATTATCAGTATTATTATTATATATCATCATTAAGATTATTATCATTAGCATTATATCATTATTAGTATTATTGTTGGCATCCTATTATTATCATTATCATTATTATTGTTGTTATTATTATTATTGTTATCAATTATTATTATCATTATTAGTATTAGTATTGTTATTAATATTGTTATTACTATTATTATTGTTATCATTATTATTACTATTTATATTGCCATGATTATCTTTACTGTCATGATCACTTTAAATTATATCATATTTTCATTATCATGTATATTATTATAGTTCTGTTATTATATTAATGATTATTATTTTCATTATCATTGTTATTATCATTTTTGTTGTTATCAATCCATAAGCATACATCATTGTTATCCTAAAATTAATACAAAAAAAAAAAGAAAAATATGATAATGATGATATGATAGTGATAACCAGAGGATAACAATACCTGTCTTAAAAAGGGTGATAAAATTTGATAAATCACCCTCCCCTCCCCCTCCCCCCTCCCCCAAACTCGCTCTCTCCTGCCACCTCCCTCGAGCGAGATCCCTCAATGCCAGGCTTCATCCGGCACCGCTCTCTCAACGAGGCCGCAGCGCCATCTTCTGATCTACAATTCACAGTCAAATCTCAGCCCATGAAACCTGAGTAGGAATCCGGTCTAGTGATCTGAAACATGCAGTGTGATACATGAAGATTTCTCCTTGTTTTTTGTTGTTGTTGTTGTATTTTGTTTTTTTTGGTTTCGTCTTTTTAAAACTATCTATCTTTTTTTTTGTGTGTGTGTGTGTCTTTCTCTTTCCTTTCTTCCTCCCTCTCTCTCTCTCTCTCTCTCTCTCTCTCTCTCTCTCTCTCTCTCTCTCTCTCTCTCTCTCTCTCTCTCTCTCTCTCTTTCGCTGGCACGCCCTCTAACCGCCGTACCAATCACGGCGGCGTGCCCGTGTCCTCGCCGCTGTGCTGGCCAACTACGCCCCTTTCTCTCGTGACCTCCGCCCTTCTTGACCTCTACAACACTGCTGTAGAGGCCACCACTACCTACCCGCTGCTTCAACACAAACCGGCTACTTACATCTTCAACTTTCGCCTGCGCTATCCTCTCCAATCAAGAGTGCAGACCGTGCGTTTCCCCGAACCACCAGCGAGTCGAGCCCAACAAGAACCCCCCTGACAGATAGCTCCCGGCGATGGGATGTCCACAACATGACCCTGACAGTCTCTCTGTCTCTTCGTTCTCTCACTTTCGGATTACTGTCTGCTGTCCGTACGTTCCCTTATGGTTATAAGGTGTTACATATGGCATCTGAAATGTTCGCTGACGTGTGTATCTATGTTAACAGAAGCGTACATTTGCGGATATGAAAGTCGAAACAAGTACTGTATATGTATTGGAATGTATAGAGTGTGTCAATGAAACGCACATACATACACACATATATAGACATGCATACACACAGAGATACATTCATGCACACATACGTAACCACTCAAGCACACACGCGAATGCACACATACTTTAAGCAAGCTCACACAGGTACACAAACAAAGAGGCAGAAGCAGCATAATAATCGAATAATCGATCAAGCAATCTTACATTCATATCTTCGAGATGAATGTAAGATATGACAGCGACAAAAACTAAGCCTGTATTAAAGGTGAGACAAAAGTACATTTAACAGAAAAAATACAAAAACTAAGTGAAACGGGAAATATTTAAAAATCTGAAATTCTTTCCTATTTGACAAGCTAAGCCAGGTTCCCCGTCCGCCTCATACCGCCAAGTGCCGCAGCCTCGACCAAGGAGCCCGACTTTGATTAGTTTACTCTGGATGGTTAGCAGGTAACTTTTCCCCGCGGACTTGCATTTGAGGGACGCCAGAGGAGGAGGCCGAGGCAAATGAGACGCTCTTTTTTCCGATGTGCGTGTTGACTGTACATACAAGGATCTCGGGGCTCACATTCTTCAAGAAAGTTATACATTATTCAGAAGAATCTACGCTGGGGAGGAGCGGGGCCGACGCTGGGGTGGCGGGGCGCTGGGCGAGGCCATGTGTTTGGTGTCTGGCTTGGTTCGCGTGAGAGAAACGAGATTTTGGGGGGAGTATATACATAAAGACAATACACACACACACACACACAAACACACACACACACACACACACACACACACACACACACATATATAT